TGGGACGATATCGGTCTTCGGACCACTTTATTACTTGTACGACTTGTGCACTTGCAAGCGTAGTCAAATTATATTGCAATAAGTTTTTGGCGCCGTTGCCGGGGATTGAACGGCTAAGAATTAGACTACTATAGTGAAGAAATATCTTGTTTTAATCTAAGTTTTTTTTTATTTGTATATATTTATCTATTTTTCTTTTGTTGTGTTCGTAGGTGGATGCAAAAAGCACGTGGCTCGGAACTCTTGCCTTTGGATTCAGAAATCGAACGAACTGTTCGAGCATTAAGGAGAGAACGACGAGCTAGGGCTAAGAACATGGCCGAGAAACAAAACCAAGTAGACCAGCAACGGACGTTGCGAGATTATTTCAAGCCTGTAGTGAACGTGAATTATTCGGGCATCCAACGTCAACAAGTCAATGCTAACAACTTCGAGCTCAAGCCAGCCCTCGTCAACATGGTCCAGCAGAACCAATATGGAGGCTTGCCGCACGAGGATCCCAATATCCACTTGGCCACTTTTCTGGAGATTTGTGACACAGTGAAGATTAATGGAGTGAGTGCCGAGATCATCCGTTTGAAACTCTTCCCATTCTCCTTGCGAGACCGGGCTCGATCATGGCTTCAATCTTTACCATCAGGGAGTGTAGCCGCATGGGAGGACATGGCCCAAAAGTTCCTCATCAAATTCTTTCCGCCCTCCAAGACGTCTCAACTGAGGGCCGAGATTACTTAATTTTGGCAGTTTGAGTATGAACAATTATATGAGGCATGGGAACGGTTTAAAGAGATGCTCCACAAGTGTCCTCAACACGGTATTGAGGATTGGCTCCAAGTTCAACTTTTCTACAATGGGCTTACTAAGCAAACTAAGGCTCATATTGATGCAGCGGTTCGTGGGACCATCTTGTCAAAGACACCCGGGGATGCACTCAATCTCTTTGAGGACATGGCAATGAATAGTTGTCAATGGCAAAATGAGCGGTCCACTGTGAAGAGAGCAGCAAGAATTTATGATGTGGATCAAACGACGTCTCTCATGGCTCAAATGGCACTCTTGATTAATCAAATCCAGGGGCTTACCGCAACCAATGCCAATGGTAATCAAGAAGCTGTAAAGATGGCACAAGCTTTGAGCTAAAGTGATTCATATGATGAGCAATGTCACTTTGTCAACCGTAGCTACAATTTTAGGCCCAACAACAACTTACCGACATACTATCATCCCGGGCTCAGAAACCATGAGAATTTCTCTTATGCCAACAACCAAAATGTTTTACAACCAACTCTGGAGTCGAGTAAACTGGCAATGGAAAAGCCTTCCTCATCACTTGAAGAGCTTTTGAAGACGTATATTGTGGACTCTAAGGCTCGTCTTGATCAACATGACGCTCGTCTCAACAACATTGAAACTCACTGCACCAATTTGGGAGGCACTATGAAGGCACTAGAAACACAAGTTGGCCAATTGGCTAATGCTATAAAAGGGCAATCATCAAGGTCCTTCCCAAGCGACACCGAGAAGATCCCAAGGGAGTGCAAGGCCATCACATTGAGGAGTGGTAAAGAGCTTGAAAGCCTGAGTGTTCAAAACGCCATGGTTGATGAGGAGCCTATCAAGAGCAATGATGATGGTAAGGACAAGTCAAAAGAGGAAAATCTGAAGGCGAAGAAGGAAGCACCAGTGGTTACACCAGGTTCGATCACTTTTCTGGATAACCCACCTCGTATCACTCCCCCATTGCCATTCCCTCAACGGTTCCAGAAGAATACGCTTGACGAGCAATTTGAGAAATTTCTCAATATCTTCAAGAGGATCCACATCAACATCCACTTCGTGGACGCTCTAGAGCAAATGCCAAACTATGCCAAATTCATGAAGGAAGTTATGTCCAAGAAGCGCAAACTCGAGGACTATGAGACAGTGAAGCTTACAGAAGAATGTAGCGCTATCATAAAGAGACAACTACTGGAGAAATTGAAGGATCCGGGTAGTTTTAGAATCCCATGCATCATTGGAGAACTTCACATTGAGAAAGCCTTGTGTGATCTTGGGGCTAGCATCAACCTCATGCCTCTCTCTATCTTGCGGAAGCTCAACCTTGGAGAGATCACACCTACCACCATCTCATTACAATTGGCGGACCGCTCTCTCACCTACCCTAAAGGTATTATCGAGGATGTCTTGGTTAAAATTGATAAATTCATTTTTCCAGTTGACTTTGTGGTGTTAGATGGAAGAAGATCAGGAAATCTCCATTATTTTTGGAAGGCCTTTCCTAGCTACCGGAAGGGCTTTAATAGATGTGCACAGTGGGAACTTGACTTTAAGGTTCAATGAGGAGAAAGCCATCTTCAACCTCTTAAATTCCAAGAAGTCTCCGCAAGAAAAGCCGACATGCAACCGAGTGGAGGAATTGAAATCTTGTATCAAGGAGTTCACTCAAGAAGTGATGCCGAAAGAATCTTTGAGGAATGGTCCTACCAATTCCCTAACCATAAAAAAATTGAGCAATGAACATTGTCCCAAGAAAGATGATGCGGGGGAGTATATTGTTAAGAAGGCTGAAGCCATTGCCACCCCGATGAACAATGAAATGGTGGTGGCCAAGAAGAAAGCCAAGAAGAAGCACGATCAGCGAACCTCGTGGCAAGATCTCACTTTGGGCCAACGCATCCTTCTTTTCAACTCTCAGTTGAAGCTCTCCCCTGAAAAGGTGGAGTCAAGATTATCTGGAACATTTAAGATCAAGCGAGTGTTTTCTTTCTATACCATCGAGCTAGAACCAAGAGGATGAAGTCGTGTTCATGTCCAGCTAGGGACGTTAAATCAAGCGCTTCATGGGAGGCAACCCACATATGATTTTTCGTTGATTCTGTGTCAAATGGGTTTCACTGTAAAAAAAAAAAAAAAAAGCAAATCAGGAGAGGGAGACAGAATGACAGGCGATATGTCGCCTGTCAATAGGCGATATGTCCCCTGAAGGATTTTGACAGCCATATTAGTCTCCGGGAACCTCAGATGGCGAACCCGACGGTGGAATTGATGATGCTGGATGAGGTATGGCCGATAACACTTAGACCGACCTTGAGGTATTGTTTTTCTTTCCTTTTCCCTTTGAGTTTTAACGCGAACAGTGGGGACACTGTTCCTTTTAAGTTTGGGGGAGAGTATCATTTTCTTTTCTTTTGTTATCATCTCTACCTATTGATGTTCTTTTTGTAGGGTTGTTAGATTTCAATTTATTTTAATATTTGTACCGAACTGAGTGTTGTATTACATATGACTATGGGCTTCGATGATGACTTCATGCTAAGCCATCTTCTTTCATTTAGTATGTGTCTCTATATCTTTGACTGTGTGCTTGATCTATCATGCTTGCTTTTGATGTTGTTATCTCTATTTCTGAGCACATGTCTATCTACCTTTCCTTATTTGATGTGTGGCTTTGTGTGCAATTTTGAGACTTTTTATCGCAATGAGAATGCTAGAACTTACCCAAAGGACTTGTCGAGGCGAAATCCTAGGTCTTTGTTGTGTTGATAGGATAGATGCCCTTTTTGGACCGTTTGAGCCAAAAAGCTAACCCGAGCAACATATTATCCATAGAGTCCCTCTTTGAGCTGAAAAAAAAAAGAAAAAAAAAACTAGTATTCATTTGTTTTACTGCCTGATAACCCGAGCCTTGCAATGTATCAAACATTACCTTTACTCACTCACCTTGGCATCACACGTGACCCTTTCACCAAGCGTCAAACGCCTTGCCAGCGAGAGTCGTTAAGTTAGGAGTTTTCTGAGACCGTCCTTGAACCTTTATATTCATCCCTCGCCGTTCTAAATGCGAATTTGACTTTGTGTTCCAAAAAAAAAAAACAAAAACAAAACAAAAAAAAAAAACAAAAAAAAAATTCATGTTTGGGGATCGATCATAGTGGGGGATAGTGTTTATAGACGTTACATTCGAAGGTGAAGAGGCGAATCTAGAAGAAAAGGGCATTGGTTTCGGTTCGGTGAATAGAGGAGTCTATTATTGCCACCGTGCTTGTCTAGGGTGAGTCTGATTTTCTTTCTCCGATTCTCATCTATCCTTCACCCCAGCCTAAGGTTACAAGCCGAGTAAAGTCCTCTTGATCTCCATGACATTTGACCTACATTAGTGGAGATGAGTCAGACGGGTGAGCCTATGGCCGTTCTGTTTTAATGTTTATCTTGCAATTTGTCTTGATACACATGAGTCACATTTGTGTTTAGGTCTTGTAGAGATGATTTGCACACACTTACACGGAGATGACAGTGTTAGAAGTTGAGTATTGAAGGTTGAAATTCTAGTCCTTTTCCAGATTTACATGTTGGGTGGGTGCAGAGGTGTTTGTAACTTGAGATTATATGCCTGAGCTCTATGTTTACACTCTCAGTCGGTTCATTTCTATTTCTTTTGTTTTGTTTTTAGTTTGTTATTTTAGGTTGTGTCGTTTTGTGTTCTTTTGTCCATTTCCCTTTGTGTGTTTTGTTTTATATTAGGTTTTTCTGCTTGAGGACAAGCAGCCATTCAAGTTTGGGGGTGTGATGAGTGCGTAATTTATGCACTCATTCGTTACTCCTTTAGCTAGTTTTGGCACGTTTTTCCTCAAGTTGTTATGTGGATTTGATGACTTTCCCTTGAGTGTGTAGGAAAGGGTGAAATCGTTGAGTTTTGAGGCATTTTGGCTTAAAAAGACAGAGAACAACGCGATATGGTGCCTTCAGATGGCGATGCGACTCGAAAAGGAGCAAAATTGAGCAAACTTGTGCGAAGGACCAGAGAAGGATGCGATATGTCGCCTCCTTTGTGGAGATATGTCACCTCCTTTAGGTGATATGTCGCCTATTCTAGGGGATATGTCGCCTGATTTACCCGATTTCATTAGAAACACGCGTTTTGCCCTAGTTTGGTGCATGGACTTTTATGGAAAGTGAGAATTAGCTTCTTGGGGATGTATTGGACGTGGAATATAAGAAGGAGAGGCCGAAAACTGAAGGGAAGGAGGAGAAAAAGGGTTTGCAAAAGAAGAAAATCTGAATCGGAGAGGATTCGAGGGAAATTCCAGCGATTCTTCAAGAATTCCAAGCGTTCTTCATTCTCTTCTTATCTTTCTTCTTGTATTTTTCTGAGTTTTGAATATTATTTTGAGATTTTGAACCACGTGATGTGTGGCTAATTTTCTTATTTGTTAGGGTTGAGATGAATCTCTATTTGTGATTATTGTTTCGACGTTTTAATGTGCATTTAATTAAGCTCTTCGTTTCTTTCGTGTTCTATTTTGAATTATTGCTGCTAAATCTATGATTTACATATTGCCATGCTTTATGAGATTTTGAATTGGGCAGATTTTTATTGTGAGGATTAATACTCGAGAGGGGAACGTTCAAGCAATCAAGAAACGGATAGAACAACTTAGGTTGGTGTGAGATCGAGAGATAAACATTGCCTAGGTAACCGAAACAATTTTAGGTTGTGAAATTGAGAAGTGGAATTCCAAGAATTGTTTCTAGAATGGAACTTAATGAAGGTAGGGATGAATAGTTGTATAGAGATATAGGCTTGATATCACCTACACATTCTTTATGTGGCACTCGAGAGAGGGTATAAGGATATACATCACTCTAGGTTCTTGAGAATGTTGAGTTAGGTTAGGCACATTACTACGGAGAAACATAATCGCAATAGAGTGAAGTCAAGACCCTAGCATTTTTATCATATTGATTTTCCGTTCTAATTTCAGCACGTATTATTAATTACTGTCATCTTTCCTTTTGATTTAGTTTTCCTTTATTTAAGTTTTTCTTTGAGTTTATCACATCCAAATTTGATCGCTTAGATAAAGTTAAGATATGATATTCACA